GAAAATCCCCATCCAGATATTGGTGAGGAAGGACCTGCACTTTCCTCACGCTGCAGCAGTATCTATGAAGAAGAGATGTCACCTAAGATCAGAGCGCAAAGGTGGTGACTCTGCATGTCTACATTTTTCTACAGCTTATCTTCAGTCAGTCTGTTTACAACAGTTTTTCCCATTTAAAAATTCTTAAGTATCTCTCCTTTACACTAAAGAAAACAGTGTGTCAGCAGACATAGTTTAAAGTGAATTGAAGGTTTTAATTGTTATTTGTAGAAAGAAGGAGGTTTTTGAAGCAACTGTGGGCATTACAATTCCACCTTGAAGCCTAATCCAAGAGCAGGAGTGCTAGCGTTGCATAACGACAAAAATAAACACGACGAGAGACCTACTGTTACTTAAATGTGGGCAAGTTGGACCAGCTGTGTAACAGTCAATGCTTCTACAGTAATAAATGTTGACAGCAAAAATAAAAAGAATGCATTACTGAGACATCATCAAATGAGCCCTGTCATTACATGGAAACTCCACCCTGTATAAGCTTGTCAAAAAGTGTTACTGTAATCCTTTGAGAAGCCTCCTCCTCGGGCAATGGAGGAGAAATGTTCAGGATCGGCCCAGAACAGGTGTGTTGCGCTGCAGTGCCAGGGCTTAATCACGGATCTCTTCACATTAATCTCACAAAGGAACTAACTTGGATCATTCTGGGCCCATCATGCCACGCCGAGATGATTATTTACCTAACCAATTAAAGTAAGCAAGCTAACAGGGTGTTTAAAAATGGACATTCCAGGGCGTACAATATTTTACAATTATTATTTGTTCTCCTAAGTTCAGCATCAGGCACTGACACTTAAGAGGAACTGATACTACACGCTCTTTTCAAAGTCAGTCCCCGAAACATCTCCGTTCACACCTTGATCAACACTGGCAGAGGCCGGCTGTCCCTGCCCCGAGAAGATACCCTCTTTCGTTTGCAGGAGAAACTCCTTAGCCGCGTTTGTTTCCTCTTTGCAAAAACCCCCAGCCCCATTGCCTGAACAGCGGCTAAGGTATCAACATTTGTAGGGTGGACCAGAGGAGCAAACGTAGTTCGAAAAGGAAAATACATCCATCAGCTGTATTATGGCATTAGTGTAGCCTCAGGGTAATTTGTATCCACAGCCTGAGTTTGGACTTCAGACCCTAGACCTGGCTGCACTGCCAAGGCTGGGACTGTGTCCTGGCCAACTGGCTTTGCTGCTGTTGATGCCACTAAACCCACCATTTAATTACCCATTGGCCACTTCTTACCAGAAGTGTTAACTGAGCACGACATCTGTAGGCTGCTGATCATGCTTTATTATTTGCAGCTTGTTACTATGGCAATTTAAGTAGCAAACTGATGAAAACAGACAGCACGACAGCTAGACCATGTATCTACAATGGCACGTCAACAGCGTGGTCTAAAAGAGGCAGGAGGTTTCCAAAATGTTATCTGGTCAACACAGCTGACAGGCAGCAAACAACAGGCCCAATGAATCATACAATCATAGAATGATAGGTTGGAAAAGACCTCTAAGATCAAGTCCAGCCGTCAACCCATCACCACCATGCCTGCTAAACCATGTCCTGAAGTGCCACATCCACACGTTTTTTGAATGCCTCCAGGGATGGAGACTTCACCACTGTCCTGGACAGCCTGGTCCAATGTCTGGCCACTCTTTCAGTAAAGAAATTTTTCCTAATATCCAATCTAAACCTCCCCTGACACAACTTGAGGCCATTGCCTCTCGTCCTATTGCTAGTCACTTGGGAGAAGAGACCAGTACCTGCCTCACTACAAACTCCTTTTAGGGAGCTGTAGAGAACGATAAGGTCCCCCCTCAGTCTCCTCCAGACTGAACAGCCCCAGCTCCCTCAGCCACTCCTCATCAGACTTGTTCTCCAGACCCCTCACCAGCCTCGCTGCCCTTCTCTGGACACGCTCCAGCACCTCAATGTCCTTCTTGTAGTGAGGGGCCCAAAACTGAACACAGTACTCCAGGTGCAGCCTCACCAGTGCTGAGTACAGGGGCACGATCACCTTCATGATTGACTCAGAAGCTTGGAGGGGCAGGGAAAAGAATGGGACGGCAGACTGAGAAAGCCTGGGAAAGAAATCAGGTGCCAAAATTACGCACCACTGTACCTCATGACAAGTAAGCTGGATTACAACGAGTACACACGTGCATCTCAATGTTTTTAAGGTATTTCTTTGGAAGTTATGTAAGAAAAAGCTTAATCAAACACAATAAACAAATCTATAAATTAAATCAAATTGCTGGTGAAATTACGGTATTTTAGCACTTGCCATAATAGAAATATGCCCCAATTTGCCTGATTAAAATGTCATTAGGCTACAGTAGTGGACTTTGCTAATACATGGATACAGAGGCACAAGATTTAGCTAACCATACTATCACCACCAGCCAATGAAGTGACTCACTTCTCTCCGGTGCGTAAGTGGGTGACGCTGTTCAGAGCATCCTGCCTACACCATCAGGCGATGAGCAGTGACAGGGAGCTGACTGTCAGGCAATGCCTGAGCAGCTACAGCCAGCGTCGTGGTGAACACCAGTACCATTAGCTGGCAGTGGTAGCAGTCATCCTGCACCCCAGTAACCATCAGAGGGCACTGCAAAACACGCCGTGCTGACCAGAACTATGCAAGAGCTGTGCTGGAAGCTTTCCTGTACATGTAAGTTAAAAATCCAAAGTGGAGAAGTTCAGCTGCATAAACTAACTCGTTAACGACTTTATGCTGTTATTTACAAGTGTCTCCAGTGCTCTCTCTCTCTCACACACTTCTGTTTACAGCAAAGCTATATAGATGATTTCTTTTTTTAAAACACAATAGAATTTTCTGCTTATGTTTTTGTGGTTTTATGATGACTTATTGTTGCTATTAAGAAAACAGTAACAGAAACCGGACTCTGCATCCTGTTTGGTATTGTAATATTTGGGGAAAAATTGCACCAACTGCAATAAGATCTTAAAAAAAGAAAAGGTGTTGATGTTTGAACACTTGAAGTTGTCAAGTACAAGACTTACAATGAAGCTACATGTTATGTAGCAAACCACAAAAAGACAATATTTTTTTTTCAGGCTAAAGCCCTCTGTTGAGTACAGGTTGCTTGTCAAATACTTCCTGTCTGGAATAGTAATTTCATAAAGCAAGATTATTTTTTGTTGTTAAACTTCCTGCTTCAAAGGCAAAAATATCTGAGATCACCTCTTCAGTGTGCTTGTAACAAGTGAAGCCAAGGTATAAGTAAATATCCTACCTGTGTATAGAACCCATAGCATCTTGGAAACCCCAAAGTTTATGAAATTTTCCATTAGTTTTCTGAACGTCAAAGTGTACTAGAAAAAAAACTCCTCTTGGGGAAGAAATGCCACTGGTATTCTCAGTGACAGAAAAAACAAAAGGAAATGGGAGAAAAGACTACAGAAGCCTTGGACGAAGGTAGATTTTATAGGAATGTATAAAAATTAATTTTCCGTTCACCCTACAAAGAGCACTTAAGAGTAAGGAGTCAGGAGACATCGATGTCAGCGCCGTGGGGACATACATGGCCGGGCTGTCACTGCTCCCAGCCACCCAGGGCAGGACCCACAGCAGCTCAGGGCGCAGCAGTTAGTTCCCAGCTCTGTGATCATGGCCTCAAGGCTACCGAGTCATCGCTTTCTTTAAGCTTTATCTCCCTTACACCCAGACTTTTCCTCAGTTGCAAACCCACCTGGTTTTATCCTCATAGGACAGGCCTATCACTGCCTCACCTGACCTCTGCCTTCTTTCTCCTAAATACAGATCCCCCCTGCTCTGGACAACTGTTCTGGTCTCCTGTTCTCTATTCCATTCCTACCACTCCTATTTCTAGTTCCTTCTCCTATCTCTTACCTGCTCTTATCTCCCTACCTTTATATGCTCTTCTTTCCTTCTGTTCCTTCCTTTCTATCAGTTTTTATAGTTTCCAGTTCTGATCCTTTCTTAGAACTGATCTGTGATGTGAATTTTACCTTCTTATTAAAGCATTAAAAAAACAAATGCCACACCCGACATATTCCTCTTAAATGCAATAAAAAATTCAATTATATTGTGCCTTGGACTTCTGTTGTAATCCTCGTATTAAAATTTGTGTTCAGTACTAACAAAATTAAAGTAATTTTCTTTACCAATGAATTACAGGTAGCATAAATAGAGAAGAAAAAATGAACTACAGGTATTGTGCAGATACCATGCCTTCATATTATTATAATCATAATCGGTAAATCTCATACTAATGAGATACAAGATGTAAATGTGAAGAATGTGTTTAGTGAATTATTGTCAATCAACATCTATACAACAGGATAAGAATAATCTTGAATGGCAACACACCTATTATTATAAATTCCTTACTAAGTACTTCATTACTTCAAAATGTCACTCGCAATTTATAGAGTAACAGATAAACATCTCTCAACTGTATACCTCACTGTGTCTACTTCTAGGTAATTTGAAAAGCCACTTCTGAAAAGTCCTGTCATCACTTACCCACTCTGCATTGCTCTGAACGGTGATTCAGTACAGGCATAATTCTGGTTTTTAAGGTTGCTTTTCAATTCCCTCTTAAATGTATACATTTAAGATGTATCAATCTATTTTTGTTTTCTACCTATGACTTGGTGCTGGTCATTGGGAAAAAATCTGATTGTTGTTTCCTTGTATGAGCATGTTCAGCTCTGTAATATCATCGTAAATGTAAACGGTTACTCATGACTAACATTCAAATAAAGGAAACAAACTGAAAATGACAGTAAACCAACACGGGGAGACCCAAACAAATACATAAAGGACACTTAACGTTTTTAATCTCTGATGATGGAAGAGACACTAAACATATCATACCCAACTTCATTGCCTAAAGAAACATTTGGTTAATGTCGCATCTCCAGCGATTTGTGGAAGCCAGAAGGTCTCTGCAGTAACCTCCAAGTCTCACCTCATCCTTTATGTCTTCCTGCTGCTGGGCACTGAAGATCTCCATTGCAGCCATCAGCCTCATCATTAGCTCATCCACTGTCGTGTTACCTAGCAACAAAGGAAGATAGCTGAACTTCGTATCATTAAAGTTGTTAAACAAAAAAGAAGTCATTTGAGAATTAATCTGTAAGAAATAAGCAGAGTTAAAAAAAAAGAGAGTACAAAATACAAGTATTTCAGCAGAATTCTTTTAGTTTTCCTTTTTGTTGAAAATTCAAAATTGTTTTTACAAACAAATGTTGATCATAGGCTGAAATTTTAGGTGGTTCAAATCTGAGCAATTCCTTTTGTGTTTGCATGGAATAACTCTATTTTTTCTTTTAACCACTGATGTTAGAGGAAACGGTTACAACCTTCCCTGTATCTGGAGTTCCCTGACATGAAATGGATTTTACAGTTTTAGAATTCCCAGGTATAATGAGGGAGACTGAAGCGATTGCTCCCTCAGGTAACAAAAGGCAGGATGTCAGCAGCAGCATCCAAGCAGACTGGTTTAAAAAACAGAATACAGTGATTGAATGCATGCTTGTGCACGCATTTTTATTCACGTACAACTAGTAGTAAAATTTCAAATAATATAATATATTGTCTTCAGTGTATTTACTTCTGATAAAACTTGTAAAGTTAATAATTGCGGAAAAGTTATCTGTGTATGTATCCAGAAACCCTGCACATGCATAGGAAAATGGATACCTCATCACATTCTTCTACCAGTGTGCCTCCAATCTTCAGTAAAACTGAAAGATCAGTTTAACTTCCTACCAAGACACACTCTGTGTTTGGTTTCTCCTCTTAGACTGAAGACTAGACTACCCGTTAGAGCCACTTGTCATAATAGTTAAAAGGTCTTAGACCATGAGAAATGGTCTCTGATTATAAACTCTTAACATCTGCCAACCTGAACAGCCTGTGGACCCTAGCAGAACAATACCAGCAAGAGCTAGATTTATACTGGTGATGCCGGTCGAAATTCTGAAAGGAGTAAACTAACCAGCAGCCACAGTACCACTAAAGAAGACAAAACTGTCCCCATAGTTTCCAGCCCCAGAAAAAATAAAAATCGAAAGCAAGCTTAGGCAGTCTGCATTTCAATAAAAGGCACTGGGACTGAGGTTTCTATATAGTTGTATCTCTTCTGCAAACATGCCTTCTCACCCGGCCCTGAAAGGGCCTCATTGTTCCCATCCCTAGCATTTGCTACCTTAGCAGAAAACGCTAGCCCACACGCGTGACTTTGGAGACTCCCGTCCATTGGAGGGTCTCCTGTCAACAGCTACCAGGGTCCCAACTCATGGGAAAACAACAAGCACAGCACATTTGATTTTTGTTAAAAGACAAACTTAAGTAAGGCTGCAATAGATCCCCAGTCTAGTTTAGTTCAAAAGACTGCAGAGAACCTGAAAAATCATTAAAACTTAATGAAAGCAGTGGAATAATTTGGATTATTTTATAATACAAAGCTGCATCATATTACGTCTTTGAGTCACGAAGTCGCTAAAACTGTTCAGTAATTTAAGCCAGCAAGCACCACTGACTTCAGTGGGCAGCACAGGTGCTTAAAGTTACACACATGATGAACTGGGCTGCAGAGTAATAAAACCAAGAAAATCTATTTATAAGGTTATTTGTATGAAGCAAGTTTTATGAGTGACAGAAGTACCATGAAGTAGTGTTGTGCTGTACCTTGCACCAGGGAGACCAAACCCATGCAAAACTCACAATTTTGGCCATAGGAAGGAGCACTGCAGATTACTCCAGAAAATGATTAATCCCACATGCAGAAAGAAACAGCAATGCTGTTTGCAAAAGGCAGTATTTCCTGGGGCTGACTTTCCTCAGGAAAATAAGGAGATTGGAATAAAGATTGCTAGATAGAAGCAATAAATAAATGAGGACAGAGTGTCATGAAGGCAGACTTGTGGAGAAAGCAGAAGAAACTAGAGACAGCCATTCTTTGATGTATTTTAATTTGAAGAGTTACTGAGAACAGCAGTCAAAGGGCATCATTCCACATCTAAGTCGTCTTGCTGCCAGTGAAATCAGAGGAATGCTTAAGCCAGGAAGAACTGCTCATGTAAGCCAGAAAGCTTCATTTATGTGAGATTATATTAGTAACTTAAAATACTGATCCGATTTGAGGTCTGAACACTGCAGGTAGGTCTGAAAAAGCAACTCATGTTCAAACACTAGCCCACTACGTGCAACATATTAACAAGGAACTACATGCAAAGAACTAAATGCATTCTTGCACTACACAAAAAGTGCAGCCAAAACCTTCTGGAAATCTGGATATAAATTTGGAAAACTAAGTGTAGCTCCTTATGTAGGAAATTTGGCTTCTACTTTCAAAAAAAAGAAAAACTTAGACTATGATGACACTACAATCATGGCAATTTCAATCTCTAATACCACGTGAATGAATACATTTATGAAGAGTAGATACTTATATTGTGGCAACTGAAAGTTTCTTTTGTGCAGTAACTTCATATTCCAAACATCGTAAAAAAAGAAACAGTTAGCAAAGATGTCTTCTAACAGTTTCAACACTCACATAATAAATACTTTAAATATAAAGCAAGAACTGTACCTTGTATTACATTCAATACTTCATTAGATGATCGTTTCCCCATAATAATAAGGAAAAGTGGAAACTGGTCTGTCTTCTGAGTTCGAATTGTTTGGGCTACAACACTCCCGAAGTGTCTAGTGCACATTGTCAGAAACCTATGCGGGAAAAAAAAGTAGTTACTATCGTAGAGGTGTTTTTGAAGTTAGTTTTTAAAAAATAATTATGCTAAATTCAGCAGTTTAACTGAGTGTTATTCTCTGTTTAACATCTAGGCTTCTGTATTTAATTCTAGAGCTTGTTATCCCTTTTTATGGTGGAATTATGAGAATATTTACAAATATCATAGACCCCATATTGTCTAAATGAAAACAATTAATAACTGGTTGAGACAGTGATTTAACAGAGAATTCTACTTCCTGTTACACTATTCTGCAGGCTATAATTCAAAACTACTCACCCAAAAAATCATGCTAAATCAATTGTCAAAAACTTCTACAGAGAAACTAAATAGACCCATACTCCAGTAAACATGGCGAAGTACAAAAATAGTGTAATTTCATATAAAAGCATAATTTAATAATGAAAGATCAAGGAATTGTTTTTATCAGTCATAGAATTAAAAGGCGATACTTCAGAATTGTGTTTTCTTTTGTACTAGGACCCTGACAGTGACATACTTACCAGTGGAGTCTAAAAACAATAATTCTATGCTTTTGACCAAAAAAAGCTCTCGGATATTAGCATACAGAAGTCTAGCATTAGTATTCTTAACACGATCTTGAATAAATGAAAAAACTGATAAAGCTTTTCTCTTCCATTAGAGGACTGTTTGAAATTAGCATTTCTTTCAAGAGAAAAGGGTAGCTTATGATATGTTTTCAGATCTGATGGTAAAAAGTAAATGTCATAATAATAATGAATTATGAAAGACCAAATGCAAATATAGAATGCTTTAATAAGATCCAATTTAATAAAGTCTGTAAAAATAATGGACTTTTAATAACACGGGTCACAAAAGGCAAAACAGTGGAAATTCTGCGGACTAGCCACTGGTACTGGCTTATTAATTCTTAATTATGTTCATGAAAGGCAACTTAAATCGTGTGTTTTCTTATGCCTTATGATAATATTTTAGGTAACAACTACTCTGAAATGTATGCTCTAACTGAAGAGCAAAGTCCTGCTGTCACATGCGTTAGAAGCCAAATCTATTTGAAAAGACAAACTGCATTAAAATGTCAAGCGCTCCAAGTCATTTCTTCTCAAAGATACTGAAAAGATTCAAAATTGCCATTTTTTAATCAACATATATCATAGCTAATAAAATGGCTAAAACCTGATAAGTCTGATGAGTACAACATTGGGCTTGTTCAAGGCACCTGAAGTATATTAAAAAAAACCCTCCTCAGAGAAAATCTATGGTATAGCTATGGCCATAGCTGGATGGAAGGCAATGAGCAGGGGCAGGCAGCAAATATTTCGAAGCCATGAATGTTACTGGCAAATACCTTTCCCTGCCTCTGATTCTCTGTCTTCTGCAATTCAGAACTATCACACAGAAAGACAATGTCAAAAATGCCAAATAGGGACTGCTGTATCAGAAACAGCTACGTAGAGACTTGCCATCTCGTAAAGATTAAATAAAATGTCCATAAAGTCTGGACATCTAAACTCTTAAGCCAAATCATGTGGGTGTTTTATTTTTGCTTTTCAAGTTGGGAATACATAAGTGAAATCTTGGCCTCACAGAAGTCAATGGTGATCTTTCATGGCAATATGATTTCTGTGAGTTCAGGATTTCACTCCTGGAAGTAATAAAAACAGTGGTCAATTGAACTGAAGTGCTGAAACCTGTGGATTAAAACTGTTTAACAGTCTTCAAGATGCCACAGAAGAAAAGTACTCAAGTTTTCTGGCAAAACAAAATATTTAACTGTAGGTGAAAAAGTGCTGTAGAGAATATTGCTAGAAGGAATGAAACTAAGAGACTATTACCATACTATAATTGCACTAGTCAAAGGTGTTGGCTTGGTTTGCTGTTGGTTTTTTTTAATCAGTTCTGTATTTAGTGAACCCATAACTCAGTCTCATTATATACTTTTATAGGTATGGATTTTGTATGCAGAGAATTCTGAATGAAGTAGGTATTTCAGTACATTAAAATATCTCCCATATAATTTTTTTTTCCATGAGATGAATTTTTATACATGGAACTTCTGGCTGACTACATAGAACCTAACAGATGGTACCTCGGGGTCCTCTATAACTGAGGCTGGGAACAGGTTTCAGCTCCTTGGTTTCAGAAGACAGCAGGTCATACCAGGCTGTCATAAGGGTATGCACACTCTCCTGGTTGTGTAATGGCAGAACAGATGCCAGATGCCAACATGTCCTATCATGATGTTGTTTTTTTTTTTCTTGGAGACACTTCTTAAAGCCCCTGGTGACATCCGTCCTACTCTTTTGAATCGCCTTCCTCCTCTGCTGCTGTCGCACTCTGCTCAGCTCGCAGGGAGAGCGGCCAGCTCGCTCATGTACCCGTAAGAAGAGCAGCTCATGCCAGTCCTGACCCCAGTGCCACAGATGTGCCCCTGTTGCTGTCAAGCAGCCTCTGTCTGTCTTGGGGGAGGAATAAGAAACAACTCTTCCTCCCAGCACTTCCAACTCTGAATAATGAATATCCAGACTGCAGCATGGGCAGCTGCGGTGAGGATATTCATGGGGGATGAGCGAGCTGGTGGTTATCAATGCACATCCTCAGTGCAGAGCGAATATACACAAGAAACTCTTCTCACTAACATGATCCATCAAACTAGATCCTGCCCTTTGGAACCAAGTAAGACCCCACTTGTCTGTTGAACTAAAACACAGTAAAGCTAACAAAAATGTGAAGGTAGTCGAACGATACAACACTGAATAAAGAGACAGCAGCAGCAATCTCCAACGCCAACACCGTATAACTCCTGTTCACCAGCCATTACTCACTCACACACGTGCTTTTCACCAGGTCAGATCGTTATGCACTCAGCAAGTACTCACAACATGTCTCTTCATTTTACTAGATGGGTAGGAACTGAGTTTTCTTTCATGATCCCCATTCAGTTTTCTCATGCCTTTGAATAGATTTTGCAACTACTTAACTAATTTTGCACTGTTTTTCTTTTTCTGCCTGTACTGATAATGTATTTGCAGACCTTTCTACTTGCTTCCACATTCACACCCAGCAAAAGAAAAAAAAAAAATCTCCTTTGTGCTAATATTTACTGTCAGAAGTATGTGAGCAGGACCAAAACAATTTGGTGCAATAACCAGCATCTTGTTCTATACATCACTAACAAGGGATTTTCTTACTTTCATCTAAATAGAAGTGTGCCAGATCTTTCGGTGGCATCTCCAGAGCTGCCAAGAGAACTGCCTGTGGAGCGCATCAAAGAGCCAGATGTCCCTCCAGGGAGAACTGTTTTCCACAACACACTGGATTACTGTGATCTCCAACCAAAAGCGGGAATAGAGGAATGCTGCCAGAAAGGGAGGGCAAATGGCACCCTACTAGTCCTTTTATTTTTAAATTACAAAAATATTCAAGGAGGTACAAGTATGACAAAGGCAAAAAAGAATTTTATGAAGGAAAAAACCATTTTAAAAAAATCTCAGAAGTTAGAAGAATAAAGTTCATCAAGAAAAGTAATAGTTTTGGCAGGCCGCATCATTTCCTTGGTTCTTCCATGACTTGCTAGCAATGAAACTGGCAGTTATTAAAGCTACAGAATAAACATGGGCACTGACCATGGCTTGACAAGTACAGAAACAAACCCTAAAAACAATCCAAACTTCTCTTACTTTTTTAAATGTAGATTGAACAGGTAGTAATTCTTGGACATAGTTAACTCCTTAGTTAAAAGCAGCACACAGGAAAAATTATTCTAGTGAAATGGAGATGGTAATTTGGGGGTTGCTGATCACTGCACAGCAGTTATCCCTCCGTGTGCGCTCTGAGACAACTTATGCGAAGGGTTTTCATGTTTGTAGCACGTTAGTTTCCCAGAGAAGAACGTTATCATTCCCTACCAGCTAATATGTGATACATTATATTACAATACACTCCTGGCATAACTTTTTAGTAATTTTATCATAAAGTGCAATTTATTTAATATTACTTAAAAAGAGCTCCTAGAAGGCATCTATGAAAAAACAACAGCTTTAAAAATCTACTGAAAAAAAGTTTAAAATATTACTTAGTTTCAAAACCAAAGGGAATACTTCTTACAACTTAAGTCTGTGGTCTGCCATAGCTCCTGACCTCAGATGCGCTGCGTAGAACTTTGTGAATGCTGGGAGGCAGCAAGAATATGTTTTTGTGAGAACGTGCAGCTTTTAATTTTTATCAACAAAAGTGGCCACCTCTGGCCAAAGTGCTGATCATCCAAAGTGTTGATCTCTCAGCTCAAGATTTTTTTAATCTCCAGAAAGCTTTTGATTTATATGATACCTGTTTACACCACAAGATACGTATTGCCTCTTGGGGGGGGAGCCCAAAGGAGAAAGCCAGCCCCTAGGCGGGAGATGGCACCTGTTCCTGACGGGAGGTGTTTCGTCATTACGATGACTGACACTATCTCCTTGTTTCTTTATGTATCTCCTGCTTGTGTATTATGTTGTCTCACGTTTTTGTCATTCATATGGACAGGATCTACTGCAGTCAAGTTCGGATCCGTGATTACACAAGATCCCCCCTTACCACACCATGAATATGAACAAACAAACAAAAAAGCTATGATGCCGAATACTTTAGAAAAATGTAAATATCCCTTTAATATCTCAATTCAAACATTTTAGTAAGCTAAGAGCATCTCTGGTCTCCAGTCCCTAAAGGGGACACAAGGTAGAAGCATTCACTGGCTCCCAAACTGTCGTGTTGTATTTTCCAATGTGAACTGGCTCAAAGTGATTCCTACTCTTACATAGTAGAAGCAGAATTTACAAAGAATTGAAGAACTGAGGAGGAATTACAGGAAGAACTGAGCAAAGAACTGATGATTCTGAGCAACATGAGTCCTCTGCATTTCCTTTAAAAATCACCACGCTGCTGCCCTTGGCCTTGATCCAGCAGAAGGACTCTAAAAGCACAGAGGAATTCACTCTCCTTTCTCTTTCC